GCCGCCGCGCCCGGTTGGGAGGGTGTCGTGTCTGTGTGTGCGTGTGGTGAGGTGTTGTGTTTTTGTTTTTGTGTGTTTTGTGTTTTTCTGGTCATGTCAGCGTATGTGCGTCCTGGGGTTGTGTTTGGGGTGGGTAGGAGGGGCTGTCTGTGTGTTTGTGTAGTGTTTTGTGTCGTGTGTGTGTCTGTGTTTTGTGTTTTTGTGTTTTTAGCTTTGGGGTACTGAGGGCACCCCATATAGCTGGCGGGGTGTGGCCCGGCGCAATTTGCACACCTGGCGGGCGTGTCTTTGGCCTTTTTGCATACGTGCGTGCTGTGGTTTTCGCCACATTTTACGCACTTTGGCTCAGCTGTGCACCGGGTCTGGCCGTGGCCGAACCGCTGGCACCGGTGGCACTGTGTGGCAACCCGCTGCTTTCGCTGCAGCTCTACTCGAACCACGAGCGAGCAGCAGCGGGTTACCTTCAGGATGTCCTCCTGGTCCTGTGGGGCCTGAACTAGGACCAGGGGCATTTCCTGTTTATTTTGACGGCTCGCCATGCGGTGCACTATTGCGCCGGGGAACCCTTGTCTTGCGAGGTCGAGTTGGACCTCACTTGGCGAAACACCCGCAGGTATTCCGCGTATCACCACCCTCAGCGTTTTTTCTTCGCTGAGGGTGAAGGTGTGGTACTCCTCGCCTTTGTCTGTCAGTGTCTTTGTCAATAGTCTGTGGTCATTAGGTGTGTTTGGGTATATGGCTATACCGTCTTTAGTCAATTTGGCTTTTGTGTAGTTAATGTTAAGTGTCGTGAGTATTTTTTGTACTTGCGTCCACCGTTCTTGCTTTCGCAAGATTACCGGGGGGACTTGTTTGGTTTTGTCTGTCTGTTTTTGTGTGTTTTGTGGGGTATTTTGTAGGGCGCTTGTGGAGGGTGTAGGTGTCGGGGGGCGCGTGTTTGGTGTTTGTGGTCGTGTTTTGTTTGTTTTGTCTGATTTTTTAAGTCTGGGGGCTTCGTCCTCGCTAGAGGATTCCGCTGTGTGTTTTTTGCGTTTCTCTGTGCGTGTGTGTGTGGGGTGTGTGTGTGGGGGGTGTGTGTGTGTGCCTGTCTGGGGTATATTGTCTGTCATTTGTTTGTCGATAAGTTTGTCGAGTTTTTGGTGTAATTTAGTGGTGTTTTCGTCCGAAAGTTTAATTGTTTTTTGCAAATCGACGATTTGCTGTGTCATGGTTAGTATTTGTTGGTATTGTCGGGTGTTTTGTTCTGTCAGTTCGTGTATTTGTTGTTTTAGCGTCTCGTTTTCATGTTTTTGTGTTTGTAACTGTTCGTATAAATCTGTTGTGGTGGTCATGTTTTTTGGTGAAGTGGAGACTCTTGAAGAGGGTCTTTCGCTGTCTGTATCGTCCATGTATATGTATATGTTCTCCTCGTTTTCGGAGTCCGACATTGTGTACGTGTGTGTGTGCGTGCGTGTGTGTGTGTGAGGGTGTGTAAGTGTTAGTCGTGTGGGGATGCCCCCTTACGGGGGCGTACGTGTCTTTTGGTGTATTTGTCTGTCTAGTATATTGTTTGTCGGGGGTCGCAATTTTAAAGAAAAGTAATGCAAATAACTGATAAATAAGTAAAAACTTACCTGGGCATAACCCCGGCACAGGTACCTGTAACAAAGATGCCGACGGCGTCTATGCTTAAGCCGGGGATTAGGTTGGTGATTAAAAGGAAAGAAAGGGATTCTTACCAGGTAGCCTTAATAAGGCAGGTAGATCTTGCTCGTTGCAAAGCACTTCACTTCACAAACAAACACGTCTGCTCAGCTCGGCTGTTCGCTCTGAACTGAGCGGAGGCAACGAGAACTCTATAATCTCCGACCTTCCAAAACTGTGTTGAATTCCGCACGGGAGGTACGCAAGATTGAAAGGGGGGGATTGTAAGAAATACCCAACCAACTGGACATCGCTTTCCTTGGCATATGGCGCACGAGCGAGCGGGAAATGATAAGACGGCGATGATACGGACGGTTGACAGTGTTGACGTTAAATAAAAAACTTTGTCATTACTTATTACTATTAAAAATAAAGTTGTGTGAACATAAACAGCTGGTTTAACTTGACAAACCATTGCTGGTTAGGCTACCCGAACCATAACACCCCACGTTATTATAGTAACATAAGCGTTTGATGGGTCTATTTCTTATAGTAAGGAAGCTATCTCCAAAAGAACCAATACCATGACGCAAACAATGGGCCATATTTCTTGAATTTTTTCTGTTAACTAACCTTATATCATTATACTCTACGAAAGTGTTCTATCTAACGTGAAAATGTACGGAGTGTTCCATTATAAAAAAAATCTGTTTATTTTTACCCTTTTGCAATATTCGTTTTTGATTTGGACTGCGATTCTTGAATCGTTTGAAAAACAATGACTATACGAATTGATAGTTTTATCATTTTTTCTTACGGTGGTAAATGAGAAAGACAAAATATGTAACCCGCATATGTGTTCCCGTTCGAATATTCAGGAACAGAAGCCCTGATATAAAATTCAGACGCTTCAAAAAAATTCATACATAATAAATCCTGAAGGTGGAGTGCAAAATGTAATGAAATACACTGACATACCTAGCGAGGTAGTACCCATGAAAGAAACCCAATTTGTTACTTCAATATTTAGGCAACACGTTAAACATTCAAAATAAATCACAATTTTTTATACAGTTCACCACACGCACTAAGTAAACAAAACAAAATAATTGTAGAGGCGTTAAAATGTAGCTAAAGGGGGGTTACAGGTTATTCTGGCCAATAACAGATTCAGCATTTTAAAGTTTTTTGCCATTTTCAAATAACTGCTTTAAAGAGAGTATCGTGGTTACGATGTTAATTTTTTATGTGGGTGTTATTAAAATACAATTTCATATATTGGAAAGTTCCCTTCTCTTTCAAAAGGAACGCCTGTTTGTCTTAATACCTTTTTATACAAATGAGATAAGTTTAACAGCCATTATAATTATTAAGAATGTGCAAAATTTAACAAAGGAACAAATATTTAAACAATAAAATATGAATAAACCTACATAAGTTTTTCCCCAAAATTGTACTAAATTTTATAAAATTGTGCCGTGATAATTCTTGCTGTCATGACCTTTGAAAGCAGTAACAGTAAGTTACTTACCCTAAGTTTTGCTATCTTGATTAAAAACTAAAAGAAGCTATTTGAAGTTTTATTTTGCCTCCAGGCCCGTACTTACACTAGTTCTTATTTTACGGAAAAAAGACTATGTTTGTCTCTGCTGAGGCAACTCTTTTATTTTCTGTGAATAATTCTACTAGAATAAAAGGAACATAGCTCATTATGCTCTAAGTGAATTGAAAGCTGAACAAAGGAATAGAATAATAATTTAAATTGTCATGGATATACAAGGGTTCTAAAAGATATAAAAAAAAAATAAAGGAATAGAATAACTTGTGAATTGATTTTCAGTCAACGGAATGTTGATTGGATTGCCTAAGCTCGGCGGTCACATGGCTTGTAAACATTAAATACTTTAGACATATTTTGTGTAAAAGTTACATTTTTCAAAAACTTAGTCTTAGTGTAATCATAGCTGGGGTAAATATATTTTAGTTTTAGTTAACCCTAACCCAGAGATTTGGATTAGGCGTTAGAAAGTAGGTAAATATTAATTTTTGATTTTATTTTGGTTATATATGCCTACATTACCATTCCTACAATATTTACATTGGAATTTAAATAGATTAATTCATGGTAAATGGAAAATTTGAACTTGGTTGCTAGCACAGATTTTTAATATATGGCTGGACAGTGGATATGGTAAGTGCGGGAACAAGAAGGCTTCTGGACTAAACTATATTGCAATTTTTATTTTTTTACATAAATTGTTTAATTATTGATTAACATTTCCTTTCGTCTCTTTGTACCAACAGCTATCCTAAGTCATCCCTTCCTATATCCCTTAGAACATCTTCACATAGCCGTAACAGTTGTATGTGTATGCCTGATTGAATGCCATTGCAGGCAGTATGTTATATTTTGTAAAACATACCTATAATTAAAATTTTATTTAAAAAAAAACGTCTGGCACCATGTATTTTAAAAACTAAAGGCAATGAATAATGAGTAAATTATAAAAAATATTTTGTAATAACTACAATAAAAATTGATATCCACTTTCCTCTAAAACGACGCATTTTAGCGACATGCAATAAATATAAATTTTTTTTAATATAATTTTTTATAATAAAATATACCAATATATAGCAAAAACCAAAGATTGCTTCAGATATTTTTAACGGCCTCTGTTTTAAGTAAAAAGTAAGTAAAATGAAACATATGTTCATATTTGGCTATTCAAAAACCTAGCCAAGTCAAATTATGTAAAAGTTAAAAAAAAAGTAGATTATTTTAAAGAAAATAGAATTTTACTTTGAAAATTCGTAGCTTTTTAAGGAAGCAAAGTTGTACTAAAGTAACTTGATTTAAATAGGTGTTTTTACCCATGGAGACTACTGTTAGGCCCATTTGCTTCATAACACCCTGTATATTTTACACCTTTAAAATAGACACTAGAATAATACTTGGATTTGAGCCGAGACAGGGACAGGACAAATGCCTGGAGTACAAAGAAAAGCCGCACTTCGCTTTTGCAATTTATTAAGACAAGCCAACTTGAGGGTGAGCTTATTGGAAAAGAGTTTCCATGAACCATACTTGAAACTAATCTGACCTGTTGTATTCACAATAGTTATAATAGCACATTCAACAACCCCTAGGTTTGCTAACACCAGTACGGTTATCATGAAAATATCCAGGCCTCACCCATACTATAATTATACCCATATAATTATTTTATAAGCACTATATAGTCTTCTCATATCACTCGTCAGTAGCATCAATATCAATATAAAAAATATAAACGTTTAATTCATGTTTATGTATTTTTTATTTAATTTTAATTTAATTTAATGGAACAAGCAGTAGAGATATTAAGAAAATTACCAAAACATAAAATATTTATTAAATACATCAATTAACAATAACCTAAGACTTTTTCAAAGATTCCAAGGGAACAATTTTTAAATCACTTCCTCCATCACTATGCAATGTTAATCCCATCTCATTAAGTACCTCGGAGCTAACAGTACCTTCCTGATATAAACTGGCAATAATTTTTTGATTTTCTTCATTATTATCACAAAGGTTCCTTACCGCCAGAATTGACCATTGTACAATAACTATTAAATATAAGGAAAATATATTGAATACTATAACACAAATATAATCGACCTATTATTTGATAATATAAAAAAAGGATACAAGGATTTCTTGCATCCATATTACAACAATCTAATATCACAGGTATTAACTCAGCAGTTCTGGCCTGAAAGAGAGAAAACATTCAACAAGGTCTGCAAAAATATAGAAGTTCTCAGTTCGCTCAAAAGCATATAATATATACAAAATATGTTTTTGACTACTATATTTGAAGGTACAATTTTATCATACATATTTGAGAAATGTAAAATCCTGAAACTCGGACTCCTGTGGCTCACACCAAATATGTTGCATATTTGCCAGACTAAAACTAACTAAAACTAAACTACACTTATGTTATTTTATAACAGGATTATAGTTATATAGATGGAATAGATTAATCTCTAATAGTAACGAAGAGTTTACCATAGGCTCAATATGTATAACAGATTCTGTTAACCCTAGTCAACCAAGTCTTTGTCTAATACATTACGTTTTTGACATTCCCTTTTGACCATATTTTCGTTACTATTAGAGATTTACCTATGAAATCTTATCCCTGTAATCCTGAGAAAGAGCTCCATCCAAATATGTAAAAATGTACTGAGTGTTTCATTAAACTGCTTCCAAAAACTGCTTCTATAATATTTTTCTAATTGCAAAAATTAAAGAGATAAGTGATAAAATATTACATAAATATCACTGTAGGCACACAGCTATCAGTTCATTTTGCTTACTATATTGTATCTGTCGAATGTAAGTGATTTCAGTCTTTCTTGAATATTGTTATAATTGAACTCTATTTTAATTCAGTGGCTAAAAATACTGTATAGTCTTACTCTGTTTTTACATTGAAACTTTTCTAGACACTTCAAACAGAAACAGTTTAATTTAGGAAAATAGTTGAAATAAATGATTAATGATGAGAAATGATGATGATGGTAGCGAAGTGTCTTTATTAAACCCGTCCGATTGCTGGCCTGATAATACCTGAATCCTTTCAATAAAATAAGTTTTACTGTGCTGTATTAAACAGCTATTAATTGGCAGCAATAGACTCGTGAAAATTAAAGTGGTCATACTTCAATAAGGATATTTTGGAGACAGTTTTCTAATGCTTACATAGAGAACTTTCATGAAAAATGAGTTTTGAATATATAAAAATTAAAATGGGAGTTGACAACTCTAAATTTTGAAAAAGGATTGTACATATATCATATAAAATATATTTTTTTTTTTTCATAATCAACTGATAGATAAAAACTGGCATTTTTTAAATTTTCCAGAAATTTAAATTTTCTTTGTAATTAAGTATAGCTTTTTAGGTTTTAATTTTTGATACCTACTAAGGTGGGTCGCACACTGGAGCAACAGGCAATAAGCAATAAGCAACTAGCGATAGACAACGGGAAATAATATTGTACATTTGTCTCACATCAAAGCAACATAAATCAAATTATCCCTAACAGTTCCCCCAATAATAGCAAGTCCCCATAGGAGTTGAGAAATCAGAGAGAAAAGATTATTTTTTGAAGGAAGAAAATGCTTTACCTATATAACAAGATATGTGTAATATGTATAGACACACTATATAATATATTTGAATAAATTAAAATTAAAAAATTGAAGTATTTACCAAAATCATTCATTTCATTTGCAATTGCTGCCAATGCCTTTTCTTTCATCTATCTTTTGCTATAATCTGTAGGATTATATCATAAATACATGGGTATTTTTCGACGATTTTGACAAATTTAAAATTCGCTATAGGATCATCTAGCATTTTTCGAATATTATTGCTTGAATGTTACTTCGAAAATGAAACAATCAACATGCAGGTTTATCACTGGCAATATAAATCGCCGAATTTAAGCAACTTGTTTTTACAGGCAACATCGCATTGCTTCAGTGTGCGGAACAACATCTGATCTTTAATGTATTGTAAAAAGGTGATAACATTGTGTATTGCTAGTTGCGTATTGCTTATTGCCCGTTGCTCCAGTGTGCGACCCCGCTAACTTTTTATTTGTCAAGATTCATAAAACTGTAACTATCTCTGTAAGCCTAAAAATAATCTCCTAAAAAAGATATCATTATAAAAATATGACCACTTTAATTTCCACCAGCTCTACCACTGATTGTGACAATGAGCAACTACACAGTTTTTGCAATGTAATGAATATGTAATATTATGCAATAACAAGATTACATAAGCTATACTTCAATATGTTAAGGACAGTTTGGTATTTCAAGCTGAATTATTCAATATAAATATCTGCAATACACGGACATGTGCTCTAAAATTATTTGGAATTTTTGCAATTAATATTACTAATAATTACTGGCAAACACCAAAACGGTTAGGCTATATTGGTATCAGAACATAAAGGCATAGAAGGAAGTATATAAACTTGAACCAAAGGGATCTGATTCTGTTTTCCGAAGGCCAGAGCCAGCACTTGACATTCCTTCAAAAAAGGAGATGAGCTCATAAAAAAACGTTATGATTACTGGAACTAAAGATCAGAACAGATGCGAACGAAGAAACCATTAGATGTTCCCTCCCAGAAGAGAACAAAACAAATGAAATATGGGCATGCATACCATCAAACTAAGAGAGATTGTTGGATTTTTAACGGAACACTGTTCACTATCTACAACAATAAAATACTAAAAAATTTAGTTCGTTTGAGTTACGACTGAGAAGATAGGTTTTTCATATACTGGGTGAAAGTGAGGGCTTTACACACCTGAGATTTGACCCCCTTATTAATTTTTTCTTAAATACACTGGAATTAAGGGAATATGTCCTGTACAAAAGGCAAAAGTCTACTAAACAAATAAATAGATAATGGGAAGCACAATAGCACGAAAATGGCCATAGTGCTTCGGAACTCTTGGGAAAACTGACACACAGGTTTAGGAAAAAAAGAAATAAATTAAAATAATACACAAAGCTCCCCTTTGAAAATAAATAACATTTTCAATGACTGAACATTATTCTCATATTATCCCACAATGTTCTTTTTTAGACGTCGGTTTACTTAACTACTAAAACCTTGCAGTTACTGCTCAAGTAATCATCTTATAATACAACAAACTGGAATTGATTTATTACAATTATATAGTCTAGCCAATGTTGTACCATACACAGGGTGGTTGAGATTTTAAACAGGAAACTGCCTGGAGATAAAACAAATAATTTTAAGCAAAAAGTTTCATGTCATCATGGGTTGTAGAACTCAGAAACAAACATTGCATTTTCTGAAATATCTCTGACAAAGTTTAACGTAGATTGTAGATATATGGTGTCAGTAGGTACCTCTAACAACCTTACAATTTTGCTACTGAGTGTTCTGTGAATCTGACTAGTGCTTTTCATTACCAATGCCAAGAACAAGCCATTTTAGAGTTTTTTGATTGCAAAATGAGATTACCAGATTTCAGTAAAATGAAAATGACTCTAATTCTAATTCATTCTACAAACAATTTATGGAAATTTTTTGTTAAAAATGCAATTTTATACACAAGGTAATATGTAAAATTTAAAATAATTTTGAATATTTTTTCGGGGCTGCACTTTTACAAAATTAAAAACTTCTATGCCAATGATTTTTTGAACATTTGAACACATGAATTTGTATTTAAAATTGTATTTCTAACAAAAAATTCCCACAACTATTTTTATAGAATGAATAGTTTATACAAACATGTTCTTTGAAAAAATGAAAGTCTAATTCGTTTGAAAATGCTATTGGTAATTAAAAGCACTAATTAAATTTGCATATTACTCAATTGCAGTGAAATTTTTAAATTCTTAGCTTATTCACTTAAAAATACACCTGCTCAATGAGAAGAATCCAATTAAAGAGCACAGAAGGGCGAACCCTACAAACATAGTACAATAAAAAAAGAAAAGAAAATCAATAAAAATTTAAGGAATAGGCAAAAACGCAAATAATAAATAGGCAAAATTACAATATATGTATAACTAACCAAATATATTATATATATGACAAACAGACTTATGTTTGAAATAATTCCTTAATATTACGTACAGAGGTATAAAAAATAACACTTTGATTGTTACACCTATAAAGACCACTAAATATTTATAACTGTTCAAGCAGTAAGTGTTGCGAGTAGCCTATAGGAGGATATATATTTGTAGTAATGTATATTAGCATCTTCATAATACAAATATTCGATTGCATTCCTCATTCTGCTTTAGATGTATATTGAATCAGGTATTCATATAGTCAACACTTGTGTAAAGCATATCTTATAGTTTATGCGTGTTATTACTTCTTTAAGTTAAAGTTCCATTCCGTGTGGTGAGGATTTTATTAATGTGGTAGATTTATATAGACTCAAATGTATGTTTCTTTTCCTTTATGTACAAATATACTGCTGTAGTTTTTGTTCAGGTTGTTCTTATGTTACTTTTTTTTAACCGCTTGCCAAATACTTATAAAAATGTGAACTTTGTTACTTACTAGCATTAATAATACATAATTATTTTAAATTAACTCAAATAACTTTAGGAAGGTAAAAAAAACAATAAATTTGTTATGAATCAAAAATTCATATAAGTGGGTCATTTTAACGTGCAGTCTCTTTTCTCAATGTTTCAGTTGTTTTTATGAATTTGTAAGTACTGGGTGTCGATTTGATATCTTAGGACTGTCCAAGATTTGGTTGGAATGATGATAATGTATATTGATGAATATACATTAATTCACTGTGATTGCGTTACAAGGGAGTAGCTTTTTACATTAACAAGGAAATTAAGTTTCGACAAATTCAACCGCTAGGTCTGCTACCTTACCTTGCAATATTTATTTATCTCTGTGTATAAACGGATATGCTTGGGAACGGGGTACAGACCTCCTAAAATGAGTGTTTAAATGAATTGGAAAATTATTTAATTATCAGTTACATTTCAGAATATGATTATGCAATATGCAGGGGTGATTTTAATGTTAACTTCTTGGATAAAGATAGTTCTGACTTTAAATAAATACTTGTTTAAATAAATATAATCTTTCCCAGTTGATTACTAGTTCCATTCGTATAAAACCTAATTCTAGTACTCTCACTGATTATATCATACTTAACTAACAACACTCATATGTCTGATACTGAGGTCATAAATATGGATGACATTTCTGATCATTGTAAAATAAAAATTAGTAAAACTAAATTTGATCCAAAATTTATTATTAAGGTCCGAGATTACAAGCATTTTCATTAAAACAATTTTATTTATGATTTAAACTCTTGTTGACTTTGAATTCTATATAATTTTGAAGATGTTAAATGCCATGATAGAATTCTTCAATGATAACATTCTTAAAATTTTCAATATGCATACCCCATATAAAGCTATTCGTGTTACTATATTACCTGCATCTTCGTTAACTGATAATGTAAAACTCATGAAGAAATAATGTGATAAATGTTTCTTAAAATATAGGCGATATAAAACTGATCGTAATTGGAACGATTATAAAGATATGAGAAAATATGTTAACCATTCGATTAAATTAGAAAAATGGGCATATTTTAGGTCTATTTACAAAACCGAGACAAAAAAATTTTGGGACGGGTTGTGTTATTTAAATATATATATATATATATATAAAAATATGAACATCCACTGATATATTAGATACTACAGTAGTGAAAAGTTTTTTTTGTGAACTAGGCATCTAGTAACTATAATTTAGAAATCTTGAACAAATATATTGATAGTAGGCATCCTGATGCGGTCGCAGATTTTGTGTTTGGTAAAGTTTATCCTGGCGAAGTTAATGTCATATTACATGGTCTCAAATCCAATGCAGTGGGGTCTTATAATATTAATTTAAATATGATTGATCTGATATTTCCAGATTTAACTATCTATTTCGTGTACATCATAAATCAAATGTTTAGTTCAGGGAGTTTTTCCTGACCTTTGGAAAAGAGCAATGTTTTGCCCGTACCTACTGAATGTAGTCACTTTAGACCAATTAGGGGCCATCCATAAATTACGTCACACGAATTTTAGGACTTTTGAACCCCTCCCCCGTCCTTGTCACAGGTTGTCACATTTTTATAATCCCCCCCTCCTGATGTGACGTCACATATTTTTTAAATTTAAGCATGTATTTAAAAATAATCGAGAGAAAACAGCTATTTTCATTATTTACTTTTTTTATTAAATAATCTAATAAAATCAACATAAAGTCCAATATTTTAGATAACCGAAAAAACAAACGACTAGTTAAAAAACAATAAACGACTAATTATGTTAATTATAGATAAAAAAACTTAATTATCTAGTGTCCATGGACTTTGGACCCACTCTTTTATATAGCTATTACTGGTAAATCAGGCACTTCATGTTCGAGAATGCTAAATTATTAATAAATATAGATCAAGTTCGTAGATTTTTATAGTTTTTTATTCACATCTAAATTTCGCGTTTTAGTATTTTAAATTTTAACATGTGACGTCACAAAACTTTTGACCCCCCCTGCCCCTTGTCACACATTGTCACATTTCGGTGATACCCTCCCTCCCCATTTAAGTGTGACGTAATTTATGGATGACCCCTTAGTATATTATCTACTTTATCTAAGGTCCTAGAAAAAGTAGTATATAATCAACTAAATTGATGTTTTGTTCACACTGATATCCTTCCTGCAATTCAGTCCAATTTTCGAACAAACCATGGTACAATTAGTGCCTTGTTAAATATATCAGATGATATTATCAGAGCTAATGATGAAAAGAAGAATAGTGTTATTTAGTACAACTAGATTTTACCAAGATGTTTCAGGCAAATACTTTGGTATTGATGGCAGTGCATTGATGTTGATGCAGAACTACTTACATAACAGATATTAACAAGTCGTGTCTCATAGTGAATTTTCCAGTTATATTTAGGGGTTCCGCAGGGTAGTATTTTAGGACCGCTGTTCAATATTTATATATCTGATGACCAAGTTTCAGTCCAACATGACTCAAAAATGAAGTAGGTATTCTACAACCCATGTTCATATGAAACTTTTTAATGAAAATAATTCAGTCTATCACTTGGCAAAGTGTCTGGATTAAAATTTAGACCAGCTTGTAAATAAAATGTAACAGCGACATTGCAGTAAACTTTCAGGACTAATTCTTCTTGTCAAACAAACAAAAGAGCTAGAGTAACATTTTGATCTATTCAAATGATCCTTTCAAACATTACATGTGAAAATTCCTCATAGTAGCTACTTACACATAAAATTGAAATAAAAAGGACCCGAGATCTGAATATTTAAAAAAATTTTATTTTACCTCATAAAAAATATTCTTTTACAGGAATGGATAGAGTATTCCCAATTAAAATTTTCATGCAAGCTGTTAAATTCTTCACTTTTTTTCTTAGAATGTGCCCGAGTAAAAATCCCGAAACCATTACAGTAGGGTTTTTTTTGGCAGAATTTAGACACAAAATAACAAAAATTGATGTTAAAATACAAAGAACAACCACTGGCTAAGTTGACATTATTATTGTGCCAGAGCCCTTAGGACTTATCTAAATTTAATTACTTAACGTTAATTTCTTCTTTTTCAGAGGATACAGTTCTGAAAAGTTTGTTGCAATATTGGCGTTACACCCTGAATTATATAAATAGTACTGGTTTGAAACTGTTCTTATACTTTACCAAATTTTGCATGTCTTCATTTTTCCAACAAAGATTTCCAATAAGCCTGACCAAATCTGTTTTAAAACCAAATGCTGGATGTTCATTCAGTCCACTGTTTACTCCAAATTCAGTTAATTTTTGTATAGGAGTAAAACAATTGTCATTTTCTTTTCCTAATTTATGAATATTAATTAGTAACACACCAGCATTTATAAGAATATTTCTATTACTCTGTATTTTCTTAAGATAATCTTCATTACTAGAAAGAGACGATAGAATTTCTAGTAAAAGTGACACTTCATAAGCTTTTAATTTGTTCTCTTCTTTTTCTGATATATAAAAAATTGTACTAGCAATTTTCAAAAATTCGTCTATGAATATCTTCTGTACATTTATTGGAAGACAGTAGGATCTTTTTTGGAACTCCATATTCTTTAAAATTTCCAATATTGTTATTTTATTTTCAGTTTTAATATCCTGATATATATTCCAAAAATTATCATTAGATATACTATTTTCTAAGAAAAAAATTAAGAACTCATTTTCCGAATTATTGTAGTACAGGTTTAATACAGTATCAATTAATTCGATGTCATTAATAGGTTGTAGTAAAGAAATATAATAAATTAAAGCAGAGCTTTCATATGTGTTTATATTTGTCTGTAAACATTTCTTAACTCTCTCATAAAATAAAATGAATATTTTCTCTGTTGTCTGTTTATTTGAAGATACCAAATTAGTAAGAAACTGTAAAAGTACTTTCAAACAAATATTTTTTACATCTAGTTCAATAATCAAAGAGAAAAGTAAATCTACAGTGTTCAAAATAATTGTTTCTTCGAGGATATATTGCTGCGATATTAAATTTGAAGTACAATTCCTTAAAAACCTTAAAATTTCTGTTATTGCTTCTAAAACTTCCACATCATAATTTTGTAATCTATTTGCAAGTATTTTAAGCCATTCATCTAAAAAATTAAACACCTCCTTGGAAGCTGATATTCTGAAAATTAAAAACAATAATGAGTTAAGTATTCAGTACTTAGAGAAAAATGATAATAGTCCCACAAATATTTTGTTAATTTATAAGGTAAAACTAAAATGAGAATATATTTTTAATGAACACCAATTTTAAAAATTAATAACATAATTTAGATTGATTTATATAATTCAATACAGTAGAGTCCCAATTATGCAAGGTAAATAAGATTTTTTTCTTATTTAAAAAATATTCTTTGTACCTATTTTGTGCAAATATATAATATTTCAAATAAAAGAAATGGTTATTAAACTCAGTTCAGATTCAGACGTGAAAGCATAGGCTAAAAAACGGTGAGAAAACTCCATTGCATAATTCAAATAATATGGTGTTTAAATAACCAGAAACTTGGATGATCTGGCCCCTTTCCAATAATAATTAAAGACTAATCCATATCTCAGATAAACGAGAAGTTCCACTATATTTGAAATTGCAGTAAAAGTAAGGTACATAAATTAGTAATAAACTGTTGATCATTTACTTTTTTTTTTTCATATTACAATTGACTCAAACATGTCAATGATAATAGATATAGCTCTAGTTTCTGTTAAGATCTGAAATAACAACTGACAGTAGTATAAATGAAAATGGTGATATTTTCAAAAAGAAGCATTTCGAAAATCAAAATTAAATTGGGGTTTGCCAAATTTTGAAACCTCAAAAAGGGTTGCACATATATTTTAAGTTTTAAATACTAAAATTTTGTGATTTCAAAGTACAACCCATAGGTATCAACATACTATTAACTGTTATTTTTTCTCTGTAAAATTACCACAAAAAATTCAAATTATTTAAATTAGTACCGTCAACTGGGGTGATGTTGTACAGTAGGGGTGAAGGTGGTCAAACGGTAGTGTTAAGAAAAGCTCCCTACTCGGTAGGTGGGGGGTTAACGTTTAACTGAGTTGGCGGCAGTAATCGTGAAACAACATATTCTGTTACTCTTGGAACACGGTGTGAGTATGAAGGGCGGAGGTAAGTGAGTCTGTTACTTACGAAAATATTGTATGAAATTTTGACATTTTCATAAATTTGTTCTTATAACTACTGTAGCTACGATGTGGCTGGTGGTATATCAAACTTTTTGTCTGGTGAGTTGCACTATTGTATGAGTACTAGTCATGGAAATTTTCAATTATATTTTTGCAAAAATAGTGGAGTGGGAGAATTTTTACACTGTTGTATTATTCTAGGTGAAGTTGGACACCCCAAAGAATGCCTCTAAAATATAGAAAACTGCTTGGCATAAAGGCGAATTGTAATTACCCTACCAGAAATTTGGAAATGGCAGTAAAAAAAAAGTGAAAAATAAGATTTCATGAAGTGTCAGGGCTGCAGACGAAAAGTGGAATGTTCCAAAATCAACACTTCACAATCACATTAAAGGAATTAAATACTTATGGGGGTGAAACAGTTTTAAGACCAGATGAAGAAAAAATGGTGAGTGAAGGGATTATGAGGGTGGCCTAGTGGAACTTTCCACTGAGTATTAGAGATATAAAATTAATAGTTAAAAGCTACTTTGATCGTAGCCGCAAAATCATAAAAATTTTTAACATGAATCTTCCGGGTGATGATTGGGTAAAAAATTTTCTGGGACAGCATCAGGAATTTACAGTCAGATTGGCACAAAATATGAAACGTGCGAGAGCTGAAGTACAAGTGGATATAATAAACAGTTATTTTGACAAACTTTATCAAGCCCTAGAAAATGTCCCACCCGAAAACATCATAAATTATGACGAAACCAAGTTACCAGTTATTACAAAAAGGGGCTCTAAACAGTGCGATAGGGTGATGAATACATCAAAAACATGCATATCCGTTATGGTAGCTGCGGCAGCTTCAGGCTCTCTTCTTCTGCCATACATAGTTTATAAAGCCCAACACTTATACCCTACTTGGATCGAAAATGGCCCTCCTGGTGCTGTTTATAATCATAGCAAGACTGGTTGCTTCGACCAGTTCGGCTTTGAAGATTGGTTTCATAAAGTAGTGTTGCCTTATTTTTCCAAACATTCGGAAAAATAATTGTAATCGGGACAATTGTCAAGCCACATTTCAGTTGAAGTGATCAACAAATGTAAAGAACATGATAGATCCTTCATACTGCTCTCACCTTATGCTACCCGCCTCTGCCAGCCCTTGGATGTCGCTTACGTCAGGCTACTGAAGGAATCCTGGCGCTCTGTCTTGCGAAATTGGAAAATGACACACAGAGGCGTTTTCTAGAAGAGCTATTTTCCAAATCTATTGTATCAGACATTCAAAAAAGTTGAACTAAATTCTGCCAAGAATATTAAGTCAGGTTTTGCAGCTGCGGGATCATACCTCCCGATCGTGAAAGGGTCCTCAAGAAATTGGCGGATTATACACCAACCCACAACACAGAAAAATGGACGAACTCATTTATCAACTTTTTTTAAAGAAAACATAGTGTCTTCTGCCAAAAACATAAAGGCTAGAGGTAAAAGGCTGAAAATCGTCTCCGGAAGTGTCACATTTTGTGATAATAGAGTAGAACACTCAGAATCTGATGAAGAACTATGGGAGGAAGAAAACAGTAACGATGCTGTGGAAATAAATCATTATGACCAAAATAACGAACAAGGTCAAAGTAGATGTAATATTGGACAATAATTAATAATGAGAATGAATTTGAGTGCAACCAATTCATCCTTGTACAATTTCAATCTACAATGAGAAATTTAAATTTTGTAGGAAATATTGAATTCGTTGAGGGAAACTCTATGGAAGTAAATTTCTTAAAAAAAAAAATCTGACAAAATGGGAATTTATTTTGTATATCCAGATGTCTCTGATAAAGCTCTGGTATTAAATGAAGAAATCCTACGCTTATTAAAAAACCCCATAAATTTAAGAAGAAACCGTTTCGTCTTCGATGAGAAACTTGACTATACTGGAATAGGTTAAAAAGTTTTTTAGTTGTAAATAAGTTTTTAAAGAATATTAAATATTTTTTTGTTATATTTTTATAAGAAATTTAAATTTTGTTAATGACTGATAGTTTTAATAAAGGTTTAATACACATTTTTCAAACTCTATAAATTTATTTTAAAGTAAAACTGAAAGAATTAGTTTTTAAAAAACAATTTTATGTCCAACTTGGGCAATAGACCGTTTCGTAGCTGGATTTCCATTGTTTAAAGCTGTGCCCTACGTCACCCCTTTCTGCCGAGTGAAGTTGGACAACTGTTATCAAAAATATATAAAAAACTAAAAACTAAATACAAATTTTAATTATACCACACAATAGAATACACCTTGGTCTACCTACATGATTTTTTTCAGAATTTTTGACATATCAGACCCAGAAATAGAGTAAAATAATCGAAAAATTCGTCCACCACCACCCCCGTTAACGATACAATAAGGATTTGAAGGTGATTTAAGAAAAAAAATAAACAGTTTGCACAAATTATTTTTAAGTGTACTTACTTTTTTGGAGATGCACTATTAATCCATTCTATTTTAGAAGCATCCTTTAAATGTCCCATAAATTCTCTCAAATTGCACTGTTTTATGTTTGTAATTAATTCTGAGTTTAAGTTAATTATTTGTTCCGTCTCTTTCACTGCTACACAAAACAAACGTTTTTTATCCATTATAGTCACAGTTTTTCATAGAAAATATAGTACTACTATATTTTCTATGACAGTTTTTGGATAATTTAATTTTTGAGGTTAGAGCAAAATGTAACATGTTTCTATGGTGACATGTGACCATCATAGATCTAATATCTAATC